GTTTTTTTGTTCATTCTTTTTTTTGCAGCTAGTTTTTTTTGGTTGTAACTTTTTTTCAGTTATATTTTTTTTTAAATATGATTTTTTTCATCAGACATTTTTTTCCAGACTGATTTTTTTCAGGTTACATTTTTTTGCTGAGGAATTTTTTTTTGTTTCTTTTTTTTTCAATATATCTTTTTTTTACTTTTGATTTTTTTTTATTTTATTTTTTTTAGATATGCATTTTTTTAACTGATTGTTTTTTTAACAAGCCATTTTTTTACATTGTCATTTTTTTATGACGACGTTTTTTTATAGTGACATTTTTTTGCATATGCATTTTTTTTTAATGCCATTTTTTTAAAGAAATGTTTTTTTGTCAAAAAGTTTTTTTCTGTGCCTCTTTTTTTAGACCAACTTTTTTTTAAGACTATTTTTTTTTTGCCATTATTTTTTTTAGTAGAACATTTTTTTGTGTTCCTTTTTTTTTTGCAGCATTTTTTTTTGCCTACATTTTTTTTTTATTTTAGATTTTTTTTAAAGTAAATTTTTTTTTATTGGAGTTTTTTTACTAATTTGTTTTTTTATTTGCTCTTTTTTTTGATCTCTTCTTTTTTTCTTCAGTTTTTTTTTTTTCTCCTTCTTTTTTTTGTTTACATTTTTTTTTGTAAAAAATTTTTTTTTTGAGAGATTTTTTTTATACCTCTTTTTTTTTAACTAGGGTTTTTTTTTGCAGTGGTTTTTTTTATTGGATGTTTTTTTATGCATGACTTTTTTTTTCTTGTATTTTTTTTAAATTTTAGTTTTTTTTTAGGACTTTTTTTTTAATTTTGGGTTTTTTTCTCTGGTGGTTTTTTTAGTGAAGCATTTTTTTTAACCCTACTTTTTTTCCTAGCTTGTTTTTTTAATTTGCATTTTTTTTTGCTCGTCTTTTTTTTCAATGACCTTTTTTTTGTTATAGTATTTTTTTTAAAAAAACTTTTTTTAAGTGTCTCTTTTTTTGACTGTTCATTTTTTTTTCATTTACTTTTTTTTGTACACATTTTTTTTTAAATCACTTTTTTTTAACTTCTGATTTTTTTATAACACAATTTTTTTCTTTCTCTGTTTTTTTTCCTGAACTTTTTTTTCAAGTGTACTTTTTTTGATCTCAAATTTTTTTAAATGTTTTTTTTTTTCTTAAGTTATTTTTTTGGTATATGTTTTTTTTTAATAAATATTTTTTTTTTAGGTTATTTTTTTATTATATACTTTTTTTGTTTATCATTTTTTTTTTGTCATTTTTTTTTTGCGTAGAAATTTTTTTGCCTCATGTTTTTTTTCATTGACATTTTTTTTATCATCATCTTTTTTTACTGGCTGCTTTTTTTAGTCATCAGTTTTTTTGTAGCTACTTTTTTTTTCCTCAACATTTTTTTTATCATCAGTTTTTTTGCTGTCATTTTTTTTTTATGTATTGTTTTTTTCATCATCATTTTTTTTTGTGCCATCTTTTTTTCTCCTTTTCTTTTTTTTTTTATGTTTTTTTTTTTCTTTCATTTTTTTTAAAAAATGATTTTTTTACACAGTATTTTTTTTAGGAATCCATTTTTTTTCAAACCTTTTTTTTTTCAGACTGTTTTTTTTATCACTTCATTTTTTTTGTAATGACTTTTTTTATTGGCAAATTTTTTTTTCATCCTCTTTTTTTTTTCAACTATTTTTTTTCATATCTCTTTTTTTATTGATTGCTTTTTTTTTTAAATAATTTTTTTTTTAAGTAGTTTTTTTTTAGATGAATTTTTTTTCATGTAGCTTTTTTTAAACTACACTTTTTTTAAATGGCATTTTTTTTTGACACTTCTTTTTTTACCTAACGTTTTTTTTTGTTTGAAATTTTTTTTGTGTTGGGTTTTTTTTCTGTAACATTTTTTTCCATAAGGATTTTTTTGTCTGTCATTTTTTTTATCATCTGCTTTTTTTTTATAATTGTTTTTTTCATTATCATTTTTTTTACCCTTGTCTTTTTTTAAATACTCTTTTTTTTGCAAAGGATTTTTTTTGTTTAGAGATTTTTTTTATCATTATTTTTTTTTATTCTTAATTTTTTTAACTCATTCTTTTTTTTTTCTTTTCTTTTTTTTTAAATTGTTTTTTTTACAAAATTATTTTTTTGAAGCTAACTTTTTTTCTGCAAAGGTTTTTTTAGAAGCCACTTTTTTTTTGTCTATGTTTTTTTTCCATCACTTTTTTTTGGATACAAGTTTTTTTGGCCACACCTTTTTTTCAAGGTCTATTTTTTTATCCAGCCTTTTTTTTTGGGTTCTTTTTTTTTCCATAACCGTTTTTTTTGTAGTATGTTTTTTTAGAGTCTGTTTTTTTTGGGAGCTCATTTTTTTTTTGTTATTTTTTTTTAAAAATTATTTTTTTTATTGTAGCTTTTTTTTTTATATTTTTTTTTTTTTCTTGAGATTTTTTTTAAAAACATTTTTTTTTACCTGTATTTTTTTTTATTGCTCATTTTTTTGTAATTATCTTTTTTTCCCACAGCATTTTTTTCACAACAGTTTTTTTTAGTCACCCTTTTTTTTTTGCTTTATTTTTTTTAAACTCCTGTTTTTTTCGATTAAACTTTTTTTTTCTTACTGTTTTTTTATCAGCACATTTTTTTATGTGTATATTTTTTTGCAAAATTTTTTTTTTTCTATACATTTTTTTTACAGCCACCTTTTTTTTCTTAATAATTTTTTTAAGCTCTAATTTTTTTTCACTTTTTTTTTTTTTCATGGCAGTTTTTTTAATATAATATTTTTTTGACTAAATTTTTTTTTAAGAAATGGTTTTTTTCAAGTTCCTTTTTTTTATCAAAGGATTTTTTTAAAAGGAAGTTTTTTTGATCCGTCATTTTTTTAAAGACACTTTTTTTTTTTGGGCCATTTTTTTGGTGACACTTTTTTTTATGATTTACTTTTTTTAGATGAGTTTTTTTTTGCACAATATTTTTTTTGCTAACACATTTTTTTCACTTATTTTTTTTTTACAATTGCATTTTTTTCATAGAGGGTTTTTTTATGTTGCAATTTTTTTCAAATCAGTTTTTTTTCAAATCACCTTTTTTTTAGAGAACTTTTTTTTTTCAGTGCATTTTTTTATAAATTGGTTTTTTTACTTAGCAATTTTTTTCTAGTCAGCTTTTTTTGTCTGCTATTTTTTTTCAAACTTGTTTTTTTTCACTTGATATTTTTTTAAAATCAAATTTTTTTTTCATGCAATTTTTTTATTTTTGTCTTTTTTTAAACAAGATTTTTTTTTTTCAAATTTTTTTTTACAGAGGGTTTTTTTTTTTGCATGATTTTTTTAAGCAACTCTTTTTTTGATGCTCTCTTTTTTTCTATAGAAATTTTTTTTTTTCAGCATTTTTTTAACCTTGTTTTTTTTTTTGAAAATTTTTTTTTTCAGGCACATTTTTTTCTGAAATGATTTTTTTCTTTTCTCATTTTTTTACCCATTAATTTTTTTTGAAGAAGCTTTTTTTCAAAGCACCTTTTTTTGTGCTAAGCTTTTTTTCTTACATTGTTTTTTTAGGCCATTATTTTTTTAGAAAGTCATTTTTTTGATTGGAACTTTTTTTGCTCTCAAATTTTTTTTTGATGTACTTTTTTTATTTCTTTCTTTTTTTACAGGGTGGTTTTTTTATCTTGTCTTTTTTTTTTTCATAGTTTTTTTTAAAGAAGAATTTTTTTATTACAACTTTTTTTTTAGTAATGTTTTTTTTTTAATTTCTTTTTTTTAGCACCAGTTTTTTTTATACAATAATTTTTTTTTTTTTGCATTTTTTTGTTTCCTCTTTTTTTTATATAGGTCTTTTTTTTACAAAATCTTTTTTTCTGTGCCCCTTTTTTTTTTTGAAGATTTTTTTCTTAATAACTTTTTTTTCCATAATGTTTTTTTAGAAAAATTTTTTTTTAGTTTGTCTTTTTTTTCATCCACACTTTTTTTAGTCACCAGTTTTTTTTCTAGTATATTTTTTTCTTGTAGTTTTTTTTTCAATACATTTTTTTTTAAGAAGTTATTTTTTTGCCAAAATATTTTTTTTTTGGCAAATTTTTTTACACTTTAATTTTTTTCAAAACTTGTTTTTTTACAGAGAACTTTTTTTCAAAAAAGGTTTTTTTAGTAAGTAATTTTTTTTGTTAAAAATTTTTTTCGTCAAAAGTTTTTTTGCCTGGGTATTTTTTTTCTTTTGGGTTTTTTTTGGGGGAGATTTTTTTCTGGCCCTATTTTTTTCRCGTTTATTTTTTTTTTACTTTCATTTTTTTAAATTCCTATTTTTTTATTACCTGTTTTTTTTATGCCGTCTTTTTTTTCAACTCTTGTTTTTTTTGGCGGACATTTTTTTGCTCTTTGATTTTTTTATACAAGTGTTTTTTTAATTTAGGATTTTTTTAAGCGAGAATTTTTTTTTGAATGCCTTTTTTTTCACTTCAATTTTTTTTTTATTCTTTTTTTTTGATTTAATATTTTTTTTGCCCACTGTTTTTTTCAAAAGCGTTTTTTTTTAGTCTCTTTTTTTTTTGGCGAAGGTTTTTTTAGAACATGGTTTTTTTTTTGTTCTTTTTTTTTAGATCTGGATTTTTTTATATTGCGTTTTTTTTACGCTCCCATTTTTTTATACAGATATTTTTTTATATTGATTTTTTTTTATGATCAGTTTTTTTTCTTTTAACATTTTTTTCTCCCAAAGTTTTTTTATGCAGTCATTTTTTTGATCGCAGATTTTTTTGAGTCGTATTTTTTTTGTCTAATTATTTTTTTTTCCATGAGTTTTTTTTGGATATGATTTTTTTGATAGCCA